ACGCCTCGACGTAGCACTCGAGCTGAACGTCTGTGTTTAATGGAGTTCCCACGAGCTGATTGGGAACCTTCACGATCGGCGAAACTGCAACGAGAACTCAAACTTAAATCGGGAAATTATGCGAGTCGCGCGAGCATAAAAAATTCAAACGGCATGTTGGATTTATGCCCGAAATTCGTGCAGCAAAATAAAGGCCAATCTACCTAATGCACGATCCGGAGAGGAAGAACAATGTGTTAGACAAATGCTTGTCTCTGCTCTCTATATTTTACAAGATTTTATTCTTAGAGGACAAAGATTGCCTTTTGAGCCTCCCTTATTTACAGCCATTTTTTAGGCGCACGATAAGATACGAACCGGCTTTCGGGGCACTAAATTAATTTCGGCTCGATTTAAAAGACCTAGAAGCGAATTTACTTCCCTGTCCCCTGATGGTGCGTGTAATGTTAATCAGAATTGGGTAATGAGGCCTTAAAATTTCTACGCTTCATGTTAAATTTAAATGAAAAAGTGTTCTCAAACATAACAGGAGTCAATGAAATTACAGTTCGTTCATCATGTTTTCCTGATACCTTATTTATTTACATTCCCCTGATACCGCTTAAACCAAAATAAGACGCAGAAGTAGTTCTCTTAGTTCTTATCCATCATGTTCTCCTGGTAGCACACTAACTTCTAATACTCCGCGTGCTAGAAAGAAAAAGAGTACCCGCACATGTCTGTTTTCCCGATACGATCATCATGTTCTCCTGACTGCTGACTGATCGAAATTCTATATAGGTAACAGGAGCTGAAACACCTCCCCGCCACTGATACAACATTGGTCAAGGTTTGATCCAAAAAGAAGGTGTTGAAATAATTATCCTCCTGAACAGGAGAGGAGTAAGAAGGCCAGGCTGACAGAAACAGGACAACGCTCCGCTAGCACTTACGTGCAGGGGGTGGTGGTCCGCGGGCGAGACTCTAAAAATTTCGTGCTATTGGGAGGCTGCGCACCTAAAAGTAGTGCAAAAAGACTGCCTTCCTAGGCTCCGTAAGGCTGCCATCTGGGTCCCGGGGGAACCTGGCGAACAAGCGGCGCTTGAAAGTGCAAAATTCCTGGGCAAAAGTAGGCAGCTGGTGTTCCCCACAGTCGTGAAGGATCAACCTCAAGGGAGACTGATAGTCTTTGGCAGTGGGGAAAAGGAGCAGGCTAACCTAATCGACAAGGGGGAAGGCTCCCTTTTGGGTTTTCCTCTCTAAAGGTGAGGGTTTGTAACCCTGCCGAACTTGATGAGGCAGGGAGTACGTCAGTACAACCAACACAACAACACCAGCAGCTGCTACAAGAGCAACTGAAAGAAGCTACGGAAGTATCACCGCTCAGGCTGCCAAGGCAACCTGTCGCCAGTGCTTGCTCCAGCGTCAGCAACTCACCCCGGCCGATTTCCAGCTGGGGGGAGTTTGCTGATGCAGGTAGGTATTGTCTACATACATAATTACGAAAGAGCATTTTATACACATAAACCTGCAACACTGTAGGGCGGCTGCTGTTACCTTAGGCAGACGCCTCACTATAAAGCAGGACATTGCCCCCGTTCAAGAACCCTCGGCTGTTAAATCGAGGGTTTGTGGCCTTAGGGGCTCAAAAAGAACCGTTTACTATGATACACGGCAAGTATGGCAACCTCCACGACCATCATGTTCCGCTGGTAGCCAGACAAAATTTTAAAAGAATTTTCTGATTGTCCTCTCGTGTATTAGGATCTGAAACACCTCCTCGCACATTATAACCTCCTGATACCAAATTGGAAAAGATTTAAAACGAAATTTGTCTTCGAAATATATTTGTGGGGGAAGGGAAAAGACCTCCTCGACTATTATGTTCTCCTGGTACCCGGACAAAACTTTAAAAGAATTTTCTGATTGTCCCCTCGTGTATTAGGAGCTGAAACACCTCCTCGCACATTATAACCTCCTGATACCAAATTGGAAAAATTTAAAACGAAATTTGGCTTCGAAATATTTTTGTGGGTGAAGGGAAAAGCCTCCTCGACTATTATGTTCTCCTGGTAGCCGGACAAAATTTTAAAAGAATTTTCTGATTGTCCCCTCGTGTATTAGGAGCTGAAACACCTCCTCGCACATTATAACCTCCTGATACCAAATTGGAAAAATTTAAAACGAAATTTGGCTTCGAAATGTTTTTGTGAGTGATGGGAAAAGACCTCCTCGACTATTATGTTCTCCTGGTAGCCGGACAAAATTTTAAAAGAATTTTCTGATTGTCCCCTCGTGTATTAGGAGCTGAAACACCTCCTCGCACATTATAACCTCCTGATACCAAATTGGAAAAATTTAAAACGAAATTTGGCTTCAAAATATTTTTGTGGGAGAAGGGAAAAGACCTCCTCTACTATTATGTTCTCCTGGTAAGCCGGACAAAATTTTAAAAGAATTTTCTGATTGTCCCCTCGTGTATTAGGAGCTGAAACACCTCCTCGCACATTATAACCTCCTGATACCAAATTGGAAAAATTTAAAACGAAATTTGTCTTCGAAATATATTTGTGGGTGATGGGAAAAGACCTCCTCGACTATTATGTTCTCCTGGTAGCCGGACAAAATTTTAAAAGAATTTTCTGATTGTCCCCTCGTGTATTAGGAGCTGAAACACCTCCTCGCACATTATAACCTCCTGATACCAAATTGGAAAAATTTAAAACGAAATTTGGCTTCGAAATATTTTGTGGGTGATGGGAAAAGACCTCCTCGACTATTATGTTCTCCTGGTAGCCGGACAAAATTTTAAAAGAATTTTCTGATTGTCCCCTCGTGTATTAGGAGCTGAAACACCTCCTCGCACATTATAACCTCCTGATACCAAATTGGAAAAGATTTAAAACGAAATTTGTCTTCGAAATATATTTGTGGGTAATGGGAAAAGACCTCCTCGACTATTATGTTCTCCTGGTAGCCGGACAAAACTTTAAAAGAATTTTCTGATTGTCCCCTCGTGTATTAGGAGCTGAAACACCTCCTCGCACATTATAACCTCCTGATACTAAATTGGAAAAATTTAAAACGAAATTTGGCATCGAAATATTTTTGTGAGTGAGGGAAAAGACCTCCTCGACTATTATGTTCTCCTGGTAGCCGGACAAAATTTTGCAAGAATTTTCTGATTGTCCCCTCGTTTATTAGGAGCTGAAACACCTCCTCGCACATTATAACCTCCTGATACCAAATTGGAAAAATTTAAAACGAAATTTGTCTTCGAAATATTTTTGTGAGTGATGGGAAAAGACCTCCTCGACTATTATGTTCTCCTGGTACTCGGACAAAACTTTAAAAGAATTTTCTGATTGTCCCCTCGTGTATTAGGAGCTGAAACACCTCCTCGCACATTATAACCTCCTGATACCAAATTGGAAAACATTTAAAACGAAATTTGTCTTCGATATATATTTGTGGGTAATGAGAAAAGACCTCCTCGACTATTATGTTCTCCTGGTACCCGGACAAAACTTTAAAAGAATTTTCTGATTGTCCCCTCGTGTATTAGGAGCTGAAACACCTCCTCGCACATTATAACCTCCTGATACCAAATTGGAAAAGATTTAAAACGAAATTTGTCTTCGAAATATTTTTGTGGGTGATGGGAAAAGACCTCCTCGACTATTATGTTCTCCTGGTAGCCGGACAAAATTTTAAAGAATTTTCTGATTGTCCCCTCGTGTATTAGGAGCTGAAACACCTCCTCGCACATTATAACCTCCTGATACCAAATTGGAAAAGATTTAAAACGAAATTTGTCTTCGAAATATTTTTGTGGGTGATGGGAAAAGACCTCCTCGACTATTATGTTCTCCTGGTAGCCGGACAAAATTTTAAAAGAATTTTCTGATTGTCCCCTCGTGTATTAGGAGCTGAAACACCTCCTCGCACATTATAACCTCCTGATACCAAATTGGAAAAATTTAAAACGAAATTTGGCTTCGAAATATTTTTGTGGGTGATGGGAAAAGACCTCCTCGACTATTATGTTCTCCTGGTACCCGGACAAAATTTTAAAAGAATTTTCTGATTGTCCCCTCGTGTATTAGGAGCTGAAACACCTCCTCGCACATTATAACCTCCTGATACCAAATTGGAAAAATTTAAAACGAAATTTGGCTTCGAAATATTTTTGTGGGTGATGGGAAAAGACCTCCTCGACTATTATGTTCTCCTGGTAGCCGGACAAAATTTTAAAAGAATTTTCTGATTGTCCCCTCGTGTATTAGGAGCAGAAACACCTCCTCACACATTATAACCTCCTGATACCAAATTGGAAAAGATTTCAAACGAAATTTGGCTTCGAAATATTTTTGTGGGTGATGGGAAAAGACCTCCTCTACCATTATGTTCTCCTGGTAGCCGGACAACATTTTACAAGAATTTTCTGATTGGCACTTCGTGTATTAGGAGCTGAAACGCCTCCTCGCACATTATAACCTCCTGATACCAAATTGGAAAAGATTTAAAACGAAATTTGGCTTCGAAATATTTTTGAGAGTGATGAGAACGCGACGCGCTGGTCGGATTTCATGCCGGTGGTAGCGAGTAGTGAGATGTGCGTTTTTTTCTTGGGCGAATTGTTTTTTTGTTCAGTTCCGCGGCGTATACGGATTTTGCGGGATACTTATCCTCTGTAGTTAGCTGGATGCTCGCCCATCGAGCTGTTTTGTAAAGCGAGCACGCTTTTGAGGACGATTAAAAGCGCTCGCGGGCGGAAAAAGAACTCACAAGCGAGGGAAAAAAAACGCTCATGTTAATCGCTCACGGCCAGAAGAAAGCGCTACCAAGCGGCCGCTCCGAAAAGTGTTTTCCGCTTGGAGCGCTTTTTCAAGCGAAACGCCCGCGAGCAGTACTCAGCTCTGCGTGACATCACAGCGTTTCCGACCAATGGCGAGCGCGCTACGTTACGTGACGTCACACATCAAATAAATTATTCAAAATCATTGGTTCTTAGAGAAAAAAAACAAAAGGCAATAGCCCTCATAAAATGTCGCAAGTACAAATTTCCAAATCACAAGTAACATGCAAGACAGACAGCGACGAAATAAAGTGTCTGTACGGCGAAGGAGATGGAATAATTGCACCGCGAAATCAAAAGACAGTCGAATTAAAACCGACAGACTCTACGCCGTCGACTGAAATACAGGAAGACGTCGAAATTTTAGACTTCCCCCTACCGTTCAAATCGATCGGACAGCGCAGTTCCCTGACCAACCTGCACGATCTACTCGAACGCTGCCCTCAACCGCAACCGCCCATCACTGTGAAACAATTAAAATCGCTACAACTAAGTCCGGGCATCCCCCTCCACTTTTAAATAATATCTTTGCGATTTCAGACGAGAGCAACGCGAGGATTATGCACGAGCAGGTGCACCTAATAAAGGCCAGCATGGAAAACTTGCAGGAGTACGTCAGGCACTTCTGTTGCACCGAGCAGTTTAGGGATGACGTCGACTATATTGTCGCCAATGTCAGATCTGTAATTGCAAAGTCGGAGGAAAGTAAAACGAATAAGTAGTTCTACAATTGTATTTTAAACGTACAGCTTTGCCATGTCGGCTTTATATCGACTGGTTGTTCCATTGCCACTTCAATAAATTGTAGTTCCCAATCTGAATTGAGCAGGATTAGCGTTTGTGCTCTGCAACAATTTTACATGTAGTTATTTGGGATATACAGGGTGATCCATCTAGCACTACTTCAATCCCTTAGTTTTGAATGGTTGCACAAGCAGAGTCAGTCTCTATGTGAGGGTGATCTGCATTTTGAAGTTCCTCCACTAGAGGGAGTTGGAAAAAGGAGATCAATCCTTAACAAAAGATAGTGATACGTGATGGAGGGAAGGGGGAGTAGTTTTAGTTAGAACACACTGTACAATAATCCCTACCGTGTCCCATAACGCGCTCTTTCCATATTTACAAAAATCGAAGATAGGTCTTCGTACGCGGGCGAACGTCGCCTCAACTCGTCATCGGGAAGAAACCGTTCTCTGCAGTTTAACAACTCCAAAAGCTTCGCGGTGAGCCGTTCCGGATCCCGTTCGTTCGTGACTATCTCCTCGAACATTCCTCGTCCGTTAATGACCTTCTGCAACGGCACGTCGAGAGGCGTGTTACCAAATCCCAACACCTGCCTGCCGACGAACTTCGTACGCGCGCTCGGGCAGTTGCTGGTGTGGTAGACTGTCGTATCGGTTTTGCTTGAAAACGAATTACAGTGCGTGCAGCAAATCCGACCCATACTAACCTTAATTCGGCCGTGACGAAATTATAGGCGCTATACTCGTCCGGTAAAGAGTCAATGTAGGCTTCCGCCGGCAAATCACCTTTCAGATAATTCGAGGTGATGTATCCTCGACCTTTGCCGTTACAGTCCGCCCCGGTCACGTTCAGAAGACTCCCCAGACGTAGAGTTTTGTTCAACGAGACGCCGAACCACATCCCGCCCTCTTTGCCGGGCTGTAAATCTCTACCTACGGCAGGTACGATAACAGCTTTGATTTATAAAATGCAGATACCTCCAATTATGTTCTCTTCGATGGAATGGTAGGCGGAAGCAGTCGGCCTGTCGAAGTATTCGTCTCGGTTTGTCGCAACGATTAGCCTATAACCATCCGAAGGTGGTGAGGGATCAGTGTAGAGAAATAAAATACACATAATTTTAATTCAGAGGCATACACGTAATCTCAAGAGTGAGAAATTCTTGCTCTGATAACGACGATCACGTAACACGTACAGGTTATGTTTTCTGAGTGTACATTGGAACTACAAATGAATAACATTGGAACTACAAATGAATGAATAACATTGGAACTACTACCACAAATAACATTGGAACTACTAGCACAGGGTGCGCCAAAAACCGCAAGAAAACAGTGGTTACAGTCTACTAAATTTCTTCTGGAGCATTTTTCTTAAGCTTCAGATTGTACGTAGGTTGCCAATTGTAAGTATAAGGTAAGTCAACATTTTCAGTGTCGGCTGAGGAACTCCAAAGAACATGAAAAGAGATTAACATAAAACTCCCCACATGGGAAAGGTGATAAAAAAAGGCATCCCAGGCCTGTAGAAGGCTACTGGGCACGTAACTGTTTCAATACATTGTGTAAAGTAAAGGTAGAGTTATAGACAAGCGTTTAATGATTGAAATGGCACCACGACAGCAGTAGCAGCAGAATATGATTTAACAAATTATGGAATTACATGCAGTCTTTCGTCTCGCTCCACATCATACAAACAAAGCAAGACATTTTACAACTAATGACACTCTCAGAGAATCTAACGCATTTAACTGCCCCCCATCTTTGGTTTCCATATTAAAAATTAGACCTACAACTAAACACTCTCTCTTTCTCTGTCTCCGATTAAATTATTGCAATAGAAACATACAAAATGAGGTCTTCGTATACACCTAAACCCAAAGTCCTTCTCCGTAAACTCGTCTTAAATGCATCTCTCGGCGCAAAAACACAACAATAAATAATTAATAAAGATCTGAAACAATAATATTGTAGATATCACCAAACTTAATACTAAAACTAAAATAATAATAATAATGGCAATGTTTACTGTATTAAACACAACTGTTTCCTGAGCTCCGATTCGCTCTCCTCCAGCTCGACTTCGGGCAAACTCTCGCCGTTACCGGCGATCTCGGGCAGGTACGGTTTGTAGTCGAGGCCGGAACGCTCGTAGAACAGGATGTACGCATTACTGGTCTCTATTTTCGGCGCCCTCGTCTTGCTGTAGGCGCACTTAACCGTCGGCGGTTCCGTCTCGTCGACCTGCATCTCCACCTCACTCCCGCTCAAACTGATATTGTCACTTTCACTTACGTTAAACGTCTTCCGCGTTATCAGCGGCGTTACGTTCGCACTTTTACTACAGTATTTGTACTCGTTATTGTTGTTGTTTGTCTCCACCGGAGGAGGTGGTTCGGTCGAACTGTCCGTAGGCACTTCCCGGCACGAGCTGTCGTTGTAACAGTACCAGTGACCGTTCGGATTGCAGGCGTAGGAAATGTAATGGCCGCCGTTTAGCAATCCTGAGTGGCTCTGAAAAAATTGACATACAGAATACTATACTCCATTCTAAAGGTACCTTTACACTATAATTTTTTTTCGAAATTGGTCTATAACTTTTGATTGAGAAGTCTGATCGAAAAAGTATGAATTGATTTGGATTCTACGCACCAAAATTAATAAGAAAAAGTGTTTTACCGAGAAATTTTGGTGCAGTCGATTTTTGGAAAAAAGGAAGGTTATACACTGCCTTTTTTTAGCCCCGAAAAAATATTGTCTCAGATCGACTCGGAAAAAGAAACATCCCTATTCCACGATTTACGTATTATTTCCATATTATTTCCTTATGATTTGTCTTATGACAGCCATAATACCAAAAATAGTATAGTGTAAACACAAATCTAAATGCTTGTTACTTATCACCTTAAGAAGGTAGCGAGTAGAAAGGATAAGGACAGTTTGACCTTCACTGTGATTGGTTTAAAACACGAGTCAGTATTACACTAAAAAATAAAACAAATGACGAATTCTGTCTGTTACTAACTGAAACTGTCGAACTGTCATTAGCTGTCAATTTCAAAGGTCCAAGCAAGCGTGATATCGTTTGATTTATATTTATATTTTTCAAATTTTATGCCGTTTTATATTTTTCCTGTGTGTGTCGATCTTCAAACACAGCGCCATCTACTACCTTCTTATAATGAATACCGTATAGTTGATCTATCTGGATCAAATGTGATGTAAATTTGGTGTTAATTAATTAATGTTTGTTTGCACTATTTTTTTTAGCGCATTTCCACAAAAATAAAAAATAAATGCGCTATTGTGGCCACTTTGTCCGTCCGTCCGGCTGTCCGTCCGTCCGTCCGCTACTTTTGCGACGCTACTAGTTCTTTATCTTAAGAGCTATTGTTCTACTTTTTTCGCTATTTGGTTCGTTATGGTGTTGAGGCTTGCACCAAGGAAGGAATTTTTTCTGCGTTTATTGCTAAAAAAGTTATTGTAAAAAAACCAACAAACCGTTTTTTACATGCTCCATAATTTTACACTTTTGCCGTTTATTAACCATCCTAGAGATCATTTATAATTTTGTATTGTTGTCTGTCGTCTGTCTGTTGGTCTGTCCGTCTGTTCCTTTGCCTGTCTGTCCCTCTATCTGTCCGTGTGAACGATAATTTTATTTAGAAATGTCCGATCGCTTTTACATCTCCGTTAGTTATGAACTGAATTGCATGAAATTCAATATGGGCATAGCCTTAGCCATATAATACGCAATGCCAAAAGTTAAGTCGAATCGATTCAAAATTCACAGTGCCCTTTTCGCATCTCGACCATTTATAAACCGAATTGCAAACTTTTTTTCTTATAAAAGTATTTGAATGAAATTTGATACATAGGCACTTGGAATAAAGGAAAATCTAGCGCCAGTTTAAAAATTTTATTTTGCCCATGCGCAGTGCCAACTTTTTTTATCTATGGAAGCATTTAAGTGAAATTTGATACTTGGGCGCTTGGAACAAAGGAAAATCTAACATTAGTTTCAAAATTTAGGTTTGCGCATGCGCAGTTCCAACTTTCTTATTTAGAAAAGCATTGAAATGAAATTCTTCTTACAAACTGAAATTGAAATAGCACGTCAAAAATGGATTGCTCATGTGCAACGCTATCTTTCATATTTGTGGCCGGATTTTTACGATTTTAATAGAAGTTGCATCTTACAAATGGGAAATGAATGCAAGTAGAAATGCGCTTTATGTAAATCGTTTACGATTGCTTTTTCACTTGTACTTGTTATGTTGTATACTCCTTTACATTTAAACCTTTTTTGACCAAAATATAAAAAAAATTAAAAAATAAAAATAAATTTTAAAAAATAAAAAATTAAAAATTTTTTTTACGATACTTACCACAACGGCATAAAGCTGGTACTTCAAATCGAAACGGTTCTGTCCGTCCAGCAGCTTGTGCTCGTGAAAATCGTGCAGATCCTCGTCGACTACGGGCGAACGTTGCAGGCTCGTCGAAACCAACCGTTCGCGCGCCTTGTCCTTGCTCGACTTCGCGCCGGATTCGTGCGCAACGAGTCGACTGCGTTCGTTGCACATGCTCGAGTCCTCGCCGCCGCCGTGTAGGTGCTCGTCGTTTTCCTCGATCACGCCGGATGTCTCCGCCTTTTGTTCTAGCTGCTTGTGTCGCAAGATCGTCTCCTGTGGAACCGACGCTAGGTACCCCGTCGGGTCGAAGTCCTTAAACGGGAAATTCACCACTTTTTGCGTTTTCACCCACTTGTTATTAACATAGTCGAAACGCTTTAAATGAACGATCAGAATTGGGGGTAACCGCCATATTTGAAGCTTTTTCGTGGCGGGTTGCTTGTCTTGGCACTTGGAACAGTGGTATTTCGCTTCGAGCCGTTCCTCCGAAGTGAACGCTTTAAGGCAGTAGTCGAGATCGATCGGTTCGGTGTGCTGCTTCCGACAGGTGGAAATCGTCTCATGTTCCAAGAAGATTTTCTCTCGGCTACTTTGGTAGCGCAAATGTAAAGCGGTGGGGTCCCAGTCGATCGCAATCCACATCGGAATCGGTCCCGGTTGGCAGACTTTAAACAGTAAGTCTTCGCTGCACGGCAGAGTGCAACCGCGACAAAACTGGGACCAGTGACACAGCGCGCACAGTTGGCCGCCCTGCATTACTGCCTTCAGCGTGAAGGGAAACTCGTATCCGAGCGAATCATCACTGCAAAACACAAGATTGGCGAACGACTTTCGGTTTACGTCGACTTACCAATCGGTGGCGTGGTTAGTCTGATCGCTCTGCGGCAGCGGGCTGAGCAGACGGGTCACCTGACCCCAAACCGCCTCGTACAAGCTTTGACACGTACTCAAACTGCCGCAGCCCAACAGCAGCGGAATGCCGAAGAGTATCGGCTTCGACTTGTGCTGCGACAGGAAGTAGGTCTCCTGTCGCACGCACTTGCGATGCAGCGCGATGAGGTACGTCGGAACTTTACTCTGAACTGTCGTCGCTATCGGTAGCGAGGGCCTTTTCACGTGAAACTCGGGGACATTAGAGTCATTGTTACTTGTCTAAAAATTTCGAAACAATTGAAAGTCAATTCGGTTTACGCGCAATTTCTCCTTCAATTACGGGGGGGGGGGGCAAACCTCACTAACATCAACGTGTAAATTTCAATTGCGTCTACTAACATGCAAGTCTTACTGCTTTTTTACCGTTGGTACAAAACAAATGAAATGGCTCTAAACAATCGAACATACACAATTAGACCAGTACATAGGTAGGCCATAGAGCGTCCATTAATTCCTTAGATTTTTTTAAGGGTTGTGGGAGATAGAGTAAGGTAAGTAGGGGGAGGGGGGGGGCATCATCCGTTTTGGTGATAGTGGGGGACGTGGAGGAGCGTAATTTGCGCGGCGGTGGGATTCTCGGGATAACTCGAATTTAAAAACGGCGCATGGGCATCGGCGTAGGTACCTGCGGGCAAGTTTTCTCTTTCTTTTTCGGCTTAGAACGTGAAGGTAACATTTTGCTCATCATTTTTGTGATGTTTCAGGTGGCTCCTAGGCCAGGATAGGAAACTATTTAAACTGTAAATTAGGCAGTCTAATAACAATTTTTACCGTAATAAATATTTAAACCTTTGTTTTGCGCCTTATTTGTAGGCGTAAAAAAATTATTAATGGCATTTTCCATAAGAAGTCAATGTGTTAGAGAGAGACTATACCATCGTACCTATGCTTTTTCTCTCTCCAGCACATTGAATTAATATGGAAAGTGCCATTAATACAAATTTGTTTAATAAATGTGATACGTCATCGGTTTTGGGGCGTCGCAAGCTCTTAAAATCCGAAATAAAAAAATCCAGGTCCGTATTTAAAAAAAAATTGAAGAGGGCGCCAAAACCGGAAAGGGGGGATTATCTGACCTCACAGGCGTCTTCTACGTGAAAAGTTGCCCAAAGTAAGTTTTTACAAATTAAAAAAAAAATCATAAATAAAGTAATTACAAGGTATTTTCGAAAAAGCATAACTTCAGTTTTTTCAACTTATGTCCAAAACGAAAAGAGATAGAATCATTTTCAAAGCGCCATTTATTTGAGAACTAAATTTTCTAAAACTTTTCCCATTTAACCGACTTTCTATCTCTCATAGTTTCCGAGATCCCAAACTGGGACGCATTTAGAAGTTTTATGCGCAGCAAAAGTTGCGCGCACCACGTTTCTGAGGGCAAAACTTGGATTTACACTTTCCTTACCATCGTTGAACGTACCTATCTACTGGTCTAAATGTCAAAGAACGTTAAAAATAAAAAAAGTGAATGGCGACTGTGCACAATAAACGACAAATAAACAAAAGTGGCAAAACAAAAACGTGTCCTTGACGCACGTGCATACCTTAAAGCAAAGAATGTTGGGCATGCAAAGGGCCGAACCGCTTCTTACCTCTGGACTTCGGGCCAGCATGCTCTGCACGTTGTCATCGTCATCTCCTAAACAGAGAAAGGTGCAATAAACAAATTAACGAAGTGCACTACACGTACCAGCGCAAAGTCTGTTAAAGGCGACGGGAAGCTCGCCGCTCGGCAACTCGTAAGCGTAGAGCTCGGTCGCGGTCGAGATGTTAATCTTGGCGTCGTCGGCCAGTACGTCCTGAATTTGCGAGTGCGAGACCTCCGCCAATAGGAGCTGGCTCGGCGGAATGTTGCAGAGGTCGTGCAGTTGCGACTTTAACTCGGAATATTTCGCCTCCGAGTTGAGGCGTAGGCCGTACTTGATCGGCGTTTCGCCGCTCAGGTAGATAACTGCAACGTTTGCGTAAGTAAAATAAAGTCGGTCCCCTCGAGGGGCACTCACCGATCACCTCGCACAGAATGAAGCTCTCCATCGGCAGCGGCAGGCTGAGCAAGTTGAACGCGTCGAAACGCACCGACTCGTGACCGCAAGTTTGACAGGTCACCTTACTCTTCAGCTGGCCGTAGAAGAGGTCGGTTATGATCGAGTGGTCTCGGGCGAGATGCTGTTGCCACGCCTCCTCGGCGACGATCATGTCCGGCCGACCGTCGGAGTCGCGCAGTTCGGTGTACTGTTTGCGCGCGACGCGATTTAAATCCTCGTGCAGGGCGTCGAGCAGCCACGCGAGTAGCTCTTGGGAGTCGTGCTGACCACCGCCGCCGAGATGGGGCGCGTGTTTCGTAACGCACCAGCGCAGCTTGAGCGGCGCAACGCTTCTGGTCGAGCCAGTCCACAGTTCGCGGCAAAGCTCGGCGTACCTTTAGGCAAAATATGACGTATCAACTGCAGGGTTTAAAATAACGCAATTCGCGGCTACAATAAAGGATGAGACCTCTAGCGGCAATAAAAAGAAGCTTTCAAACTTTACGAATGGTCACATTTTAACTCCCTGGGAGACTTATATACTTTCGGCTGACTTTCTACAGTGGATCTTCTGTAAATTTTGTAATCACACTGAGCACAATTAAAATTTTTGGACTTCTCACAAGTGCGCTTTAGAGTAGATTTGGAATTGGGGACAATGGCTACATTTAAAATCCCTTGTAGCATTATTGTGTCTTAAGTGCACCCTGATTTCTAAAACGGGATTGCATATTCACACTGGGCACATTTTAAATCTGTGGAACTCTTGTGTTTTAAAACGCTTTTGTTTTTGATGAACGCTCTTCTTACATTACACGATTTGACTGTTTGGGAATAGACCATTTGGTTGCCTGATGAAGAATACAATCCCCCGGTTCCACATTCTTCCCTTGAAATACTTACTGCTTTTGGCACTTGCATCAGACTTTTTAGAAAACGATCATCGAATGTAACACCAGATCATGGAGACCTTTTGAGGAAGGATGTGGAACCGGGGGGTCTGGGGGTATGGAAGACCCCCCCAGTCATTCCATCTAGCGCACGAAAATCTTAAAATAATTAAGTATAGGAAAAGGAATATCAAATCTTTCTCTTTCCTGGGGGGTATTCCATACCCCCCAGACCCCCCGGTTCCACATTCTTCCCCTGAAACACTAGTGCTTTTGGCACTCGCATCACACCTTTTAGAAAAGGGTCAGCGAACATAACACCAGATCATGGGGACCTTTTTTTGAGGAAGAATGTGAAACCGGGGGGTCTGGAATACCCCCCAGCCATTCCCTCTAGCGCATGAAAATCTTAAAATAATTATAGGAAAAGGAATACCAAATCTTTCTCTTTCCTGGGGGGTATTCCACACCCCCCAGACCCCCCGGTTCCACATTCTTCCCCTGAAATACTTAGTGCTTTTGGCAGGAAGAACGTGGAACCGGGGGGAGTAGAGAGAAACGTCGGCCATCTTGAAATCGTGGGCTTGGTCGAAATCGCGAATACCTAACCTAAAATTGCGCATGCGCAAAATGAATTATTGAGCACATGTTTCAACAGCAAGTCCTTCCACAATGAAATAATGATTTAGTATCAAAGGCGGCCGAGCTTAAATTAAAGGGCGATGCACAAGCTACACGATCTACCTACCTTCGCGCAACTTGGCCTCGTGTACCGAGAGGATTCGTCGAGTTTAGCTCGCAAAGCTGCATATCACGTTGAAAATACTGTGTTAACGGTCGAGTATTGGATACTGCTTGAAGGGCCGCATTCATGAAGCACGTATTACCTAAATTGTGTAGTCCGGTCGCACCTGTAAACACGCCTTTAGTTTAGACAGCCGACGATATCCGACCGTTACCCGGTGGTAGGCAAATGGTGGGCCGCCTGTCCATGCTAATCAGTCCCTGATTATTCGTGACGCCCGAGACGAGCGCGCCCAACTCCTCCGGCCAAGTGAGGTCCTTGTTGCGAACTTCCAATAGCAACTGATCGCCGTCTTGTATGCCCAAATCCTGGAGGGTGGCGACTTCGTCCTCCAAGAGTATGGTGTTATCTCTGACATGCCAGAGGCGGACATCTTCGATTCGTAAACCTAGCCGCAGCGAGAGAAACTCGATCACCTGTCGCACGTTCGCGAGACGACTGAAGGCGGCGGTGTGCGCCAAGTACCGCCTCGGCGAGCCAACCGGAGAGGTAATACCGGCAGTGTTGAGAGCGGCCGCCCCGTAACCGCCTACGACGCTCGTCCAGGTCCCGGATGAGTTACCCGTCGGGGTTTGATGACGTAAAATGCCTAAATTTAGTGGATAAAGTTCCAGTTCGACCTCAATACTGGCCGTGGGTCGGATAACTTGACGAGGCAGAGGTAGGGGGCCCCCGTACCACAGTGCTAAAGCTTTCCAAAGCGAATCAGGTACCAGAATAAAATCGCGATGTTGGACTAGCGGCCGATCACGTTTGAGACGCCCCCCTTCCCCCGTTAACGTAGCCACCTTCAAAAATGACTCGGTCACTAAGCAAGTGTTATCGATCGGCCCCGGCCCGCCCTGATTCCGCTTCGATCCGCTACTCGAACTGCTCGACACGCCGGAACTGGACGCTATGCTGCACGTGTCACCTTTACTCAACAAGTCGCCCATCGAGTCGGTACTGTTCGAGGTAAACTCATTGGAATGTGACGATATGTAATCGGTACTATTGCTCGTGAAACTTTCGTCGCACACGATCCCCTCTTCGATCGGCAATCGCTGCTCCAATCGACAGGCGCATTGGTCGTAGCTCGTTCGCGACGCCGTCGTGTAGCTGATCCAGCTTTGCCACCACTCGGTCGAAATCAAATACCAAAATTGCCCGACACGGTAACCGCGCAACTCCTCTCTCGTCAACCAACCCATCACTAAAATCGAATATTAAATAAATAATGTACGATTCATGCCGTCTTTGTTCAAAACTGTTAGACAATAAATCCATTATTATTATTATTATTAAAACAACTGAACCCACCGGAAAATCGTTACTGAGGGGTCTATCGCCATTGGATAATTATGAATATACAGTGTGTCTATTAGAATTGGGCAACAAAATCGATTAATCGATAATCAGTTAATCGAGAATCGATTATTTTTAATAACTGGACCTATCACAGTTGTTTTGTTAACCAATGCCGTTTATTATTGTTTTAACGTATAAAGGTTTGTTATGCTTGATTGTTGTGTCGTTGGAATAATCTAAAAAGCGAAAAGAAATTTGGTTCGGCTCAAAAAAGCACCAATAATAATGATAATAATAATGATTTATTCCCTACTTCTGTACAAACAGTATAAATAAAATTATAAAATAAACAAAAGAAACCTATTACGTATTAGAGGTGTCGGGAAGACAATAGAGCATTTATACAGTCACTAAAAAATAATAATTTTTTTTTCCTTCTTAATAATGTGAATAGAAATAGAAATAATATGGATGATGAAATGTGAACTAAGGATTGGTATCATGAAAGCTATAGAACTCTTTTAATGAGTAAAATTTCTGTGTTCTACAGGTCACGTTCTATAAGAAAAATTTTTTTCCGGGACGATCTGAGACAATTTTTGTTTCGGGGCTCAAAAAAAGGCAGTGTATAACCTTCTTTTTTTCCAAAAATCGACTGCACCAAAATTTCTCGGGAAAACACTTTTTCTTATTAATTTTGGTCCGTAGAATCCAAAACAATTCGTACTTTTTCGATCAGACTTCTCAATCAAAAGTTATAGACCAATTTCGGAAAAAAATTCAAAGGGCTGTAACTTTTGAACTAGTAGCCCAATCTTAGAACTGTTTGAAATTATGGATTCTACAGGCGACGTTCTATAAGAAAAATTTTTTTCCGGGTCGATCTGAGACAATTTTTTTTTCGGGGCAAACAAAAAGGCAGTGTATAACCTTCCTTTTTTACCAAAAATTGACTGAACCAAAATTTCCCGGGAAAACACTTTTTCTTATTAATTTTGGTGCGTAGAATCCAAAACAATTCGTACTTTTTCGATCAGACTTCTCAATCAAAAGTTATAGACCAATTTCGAAAAAAAAAATTCAAAGGGCTGTAACTTTTGAAGTAGTAGCCCAATCTTGGAACTGTTTGAAATTATGGATTCTACGGGCCACGTTCTATAAGAAAAATTTTTTTCCGGGTCGATCTGAGAAAATTTTTTTTTCGGGGCAAACAAAAAGGCAGTGTATAACCTTCCTTTTTTCCAAAAATTGACTGCACCAAAATTTCTCGGGAAAACACTTTTTCTTAATATCCTAATTAACTTTTTCTTATATATTAATTAATATATCGATAGTCCCCTTTTTAGTCCTTCTCATTGTATAGGTTGGTAAGCCTCCTCCAAGGGCACCTCCAAAAATGGGTGTACTTTACGTTTGTACCATCATTTTGGGGAAAAAAATACGATTATCTTTCATCTTGTTTGCTTATATTAGAGGACCCTACCATAAAAATCGCAATCAAATTGCTCCACAGAAAGTATTGCGCATGTGTAGTACGATTCTTTGAGGTTAGGTTAGATCTGGTCCACCTTTCCAAAGACACCCATGAACCCCCACCTACGACGCACCGTTCTCGAGATATCGCGGTTTAAGCGTTTGCGCTGCCCAGAAATGAGAGTACAGACAGACAGACAGACATAATCGAGATTTTGTTTGTTTCGGATTTGTGGTGCTTCGAAACGTTATTTCCGTAAAAACAGTGGGGGTGCTAAAAAGATAATAATTGTCAAATGTCACAAATTGCTCCATAAATAAAAAAAAATGCGCATTGCGCATGCGCGATTTTTACGCATGCGTTTTGTTTGATTTTGTTATTAATCAATTAATCAGAATAATCGATTATTTTTTCCAAAGTTGCCACTTTAAGTAGACACACTGTATAATCTACCCCTCTCCATTCCTTGGGAGAGGAATGCTCGGAAAAATTTCAGACCGTGTAATACCAGTGGCGTTAGGCCCCTCAACCGATACATACCAATTTCGTACTCGTGATGTCGACAGAGCGGCTTCAAACCCAAAGAAACGTGGCAGACCTCGAACAGCAGCTGAAGTAAAGGCGTAATTAAATTATTATCGTCGATCCCCCAAATTAGGAAGTCCTCCTGGCTCAAGGATCCGTCCGCCGTTAAGCGCTTTTTCAAATTATCGATCACCTTCCAGTAGAAATCCTCGCAGTTGTCGTCGCAATCGTGAGTGGCCAGCGGCGCCTTCGGCGACTTCTCGATCAGATTGATCTGGTGCGGCTTGGGCGAGTGCTCCTTGGCGACGAACGTGAGGATATCGACCATGTTTTGTAGCTCCTTCATGTTCAAGTAGCCGTCTTGGTCCAAGTCGAATATCTTGAAGCAGAATTTGATGCGTTCGGCCGTCGGGCCGCGACACGCCGCCGAAATTCCGCAGCACAGCTCCTTGAAGTCGACGTGACCGTCGCCGTTCACGTCCAAAGCCAGGAACAATCTGGACAATAACGTTTTTTGTAATAGTGCTGTACAGGGTTCTTATAGAAACACCCTTTATTTTAAAAAATATAAAAAATGGATCTATAATAGGTGTCTGGGGCTCAATTTTAAAGAGAAAATCAATGGCGCAAACAGAATTCACTTATCTCTAGCGTTTGGCCACTAGGGGGCGTTTCTCAAACNTCAATCTAGCTAGGTTTGCTTCTGAGATGCAGGGTGAAAACCAAAAGTATGACTTTTGGGACTTTATCATATCTTACTATCCATCTGAGATAGCAAAAAGGTAAAAAGTGACTATTTTAGATATTTTTACATAGAATCCAGTGGTTAGTCAATCTTCATCATTGTTTAATCTATGGTTCAGTCATGCGTGGTATTTTTGGAATCAGAGAGACGGGATGGGTTAAAAACTGGTTTTGTTCTTCTTGTTATTTTAACAAAAGCCAATGAGCTAATTTCTACCAGTTACGCCCTTCCGTATCGAGGTCTGTTATAATTTCTCAGGAACGAAGTACTATAAGCTATATGTATCGATAGAGTCAAAACTTTAACTGCGAATATCTCAAGAACGAAGGGTAATCGCAAAACAAATTGGAATGTCTGGACTTGTCATTATTGGGGGAGTTGTAAGCTTATACTTGCTCTCCGCTGTACGTGATATATGTGATACCAATTGGAGGATCCGGTATGAATACGTAAAACAGAGTTTCTAATTTCCACTTTGGTGCCAAAACAATGCGGGCTGCTGATGGTGTGTAACTTATTAATTCTCGCCGAAAGGAAACTTTTACAATACACTTCTTTTTTCGTACATGTGCACTGTTACTTTAATAATCCCTCACTATTATGGGCCCTTCGTTTTTAAAAACACAAAATTGTTCCAAGAAATTATACTTATTCGCAAATGCACACTGCGAAATATGTGATCGCTTCAGAGTCTGGCTGCGATTTTATAGTAATCAGTGATGTTTTGAGCGTTTAAGGCCATGTATATATGTATTTATAGTCAAATAAAACAGTGCAATAAGTAAATTTACATTTTAAGTTTAACGCAAAAAATAATTTTTGCTCTATAGTAGGATAATAAACAGAAATTAATATGACACATTACCAATTATTTATATTTCTCATTGAACTCTGATGCTGTTTTTTTTAAATCTCTACGCGATTTTTATTGATATATCAATTTTCTACAACGTATTGAAAATATCAATAGCACATTTTATTGAGTTGTACTTATTACGTACCGTCAACTATTACCCATGTTACTTACCCATAAAGAGAATATTCCTGAATAACTTACGCTGTTTGCCGTAACTCCCATGATGTTTAATTTTACACTGTTCTACCTATATAAATTTTTAATGATCTTTTTTTGTTTTTAGGTATGGAGGTTTACGTCTATATGGAATTGAATTAGTAAGTAATGAATTTATTTCGTTTGTCATATCATATGCATACAGTCTGTTTCAAATTAAGTTAGCACTATTGCTAACTTTCATAGTTGTAGAGTTAGAAAGATCAATATTGTGTATTTTTTGTACCGAATCCAAATCTGTAATTAAAAACCCATAATATCGCATTTTTCAGATAATAACAAACATGTGACTTTTTATGTGGAACATTCTATATATTATTACATTATATGACAGATTATTAAATTCTCTACAAAGGTTGTTAATGCACCATAGTCAAAATACTTCAAAAGACCAAGATTTTTCAGTAGTGCTTGTTTCGATGTAGTTATCCATAAAATCATAAAATGACGTCGTTCGTTCATATTAGTTCATTGCTCGTAAATTTATCCTCCCGTATTGATATATGCGTCCCTTAAATCGTGGATAATACAAACTCAGAGTCTATTTCAAGACGAACTTCTTGCTGTTACACATTGGTAAAAATAAAAGAATTTTGAAAATTATTGTAACGCAAAATAAACTCAAAGTTTGTGTTTTCCACGATTTAAGGGACGCATATATCAATGCGGGAGGATAAATTTAGGAGTAATGAACTAATGTGAACAAATGACGTCATTTTATCAATTTGATGGATAACTAGATCCAAATGAAGTATTTTGGCTATGGTCCATTAAGAACTTTTATAGAGAATTTAATAAGTTGTTATATGATAATCATAATATACAAGGCGTTCCATATAAAAAAGTCATATTTTTGTTATTATCTGAAAAATGCGATGTTGTTATGTTTTTTAATCACAGATTTGGATTCGGTAGAAAAAAATACACAATATTGGAAATTTAACCGTCTTTCTAACTCGAAGTACAACTAACAACGTTAGCAATAGTACCGACTGAGTATGAAACAGACTGTATAAAGCAAGGGCGCCGCCAGAGAGGGGCCAGGAGGTGCCGTCGCCCCCCCTGGGAAAACGTACGTTTTATAAAATGCACATTTAATAATGCAAGACCAGATAAACGGTCTTACATTTTATTCCTTATGTAGGTTTTCAGTCATTTAAATGACGAAAAACGTCTTTCAGCAGATACCTGATACCACACTGTAATGTGTAGGTGTAAGTAACTCAGTAACTGTACGTTTGCTAAACAAAACGATTAGTAAACAATACGAGCGTCGACTGTCGAGGTCGAGCGGAGCGTTTTCGCCTTGCCTTGCATATTTCAGTTCTATAAATAAGTATAACCGAACCGGGATAATATTGGTAATCTCCACCCCAGGTAGTTAAGAGAAAGTTACATCTTTTGTTTAATGTTGTTCGACGAGTTGAGGTACTTATTTCAGGTTGTTCTAAATATGTAAAGTCGAAAGTCCTGTAATTTGTGTCTGTGCATAAGTTAATCTAATAGCAGATAATGCCAGTGCCGAAAGTGTAAACAAGATCTGCTTGGTAGAGCTACTGGATCACAATCATGCATTCTTCTTACCAAATGTGAGCAAGGCAATTCAAATAGCAATTACCCTGCCTCCAACAACGTGCACGATCGAAAGATCTTTTAGGTAGGTACCCAAATATATTTTCTATTTGTTCTTCTCTATGTTTGAATGTACTTAATAATGATTTTGGTGCATCTATTTTACTGAGTTATTTACTTGTTTCAGTACTTTGAAACAAGTAAAAACTTGGATACGAAGCTCAATGGCGAATTCCCGATTAAGTGGACTATGCTTGATGTCGGTGCATAAGGATTTGATCCAACAATCAAAAGATGCATTTATAGAAAAATCCATTGACTTGTTTGCAATGGAGCAACGGAGAATGCAGTTTTTGTTTAAATAAACGAATGTAATATTAATAAAGTACTAACCTAGTAGCTAGTAAGTGTTATATTTAAATAAATAGTTCACAGCGATTAGCTATATATGCACAGAAAAAATACAGACAATTTTATCTATGGCTATAGTCACGACAATGAATTTTTTGAATACCCTAATATGTTTATCTGATACTATGCCAATGAAATGATTAATGATTTTACGTATACATAGTAAGTACAACTACAAGTGAGCGAATATGGCGAAAGAGATTTTGGGGTAGGCATCCTAGCATGAACCGATCGTACTTGCCCCCCCTGATAACATTTTCTGGCGGCGCCCTTGGTATAAAGGGTTTTGTATAAGTCTCTCAGTGTGTGGGAATCGCACTATGTATATGAATGTCGTCCTTTACATTACCAAACGTGGAGTAATTTTCTTTCAAATTATGTGAAACATACAAGGTACTCCAATTGAAAGTTCAATTTTTTAATATCTCAAATATCTCCTGAGAAAAAGGATGCACACTTGGTAATTTAACCGACTTCGTAGCTTTAAAAAATTTAACAAGGATGCCGATTTAAAAAAAATAGGAATCGTATAAACTAGACTTGGATTGTAAGATATACCAACTATACAGGGCGAATAAAAAGTAAGGAACATTGATGCTGGAACCGTTACTACTGGTCCTATCAAGACAAGTTGAATGATTAAATATTTACCACAATCTGACGGTTTTCAATTTTTTTCTGACGTCATAGTTTCAGAATGTGATGTCATCGCAAAAAATGTTAAATAGCAATCTATATTTTTTCGGCAATGTTAGATAGTATCTTGTTTTCTCTTTAGGTCCATGTAAAAAATCACAAGGTTAATAAAATTAAGAAACATTTTGAGAAACATGGCATGCAATTCTTTGGAAACAATTACCATAAAACAAATTCTAATCACTATTAATCCCACTTATAACAGAATAATAATAACTATTATTTAAGTTTTTTGAGAAAGTGTCTTATCATTTCAAATTGGTTATTAATAATAACGGCTCCAGCATCAATGTTCTTTACTTTTTATTCACCCTGTATAAGTTACTCCCTGGCTGACTCCAGTTGTAATTACACTCATGATTCACGAATAATTCCGTCTTTGGTGAAAATTTTGCTAAAAATAGGTTTTAACTTGGTATAGTACCTATGTGTGGTAAAGAAGACACTAGAATTAAGCGGAATCTATACAAAATTTACAACACGGTATTAATAGCTATGACTATCTGGTTCCTAAGTTATAACGTGCTTAAAATTTAATTTACACCGGAGTTATGCTAATTTAATAAGTTAGTTGTATCAACCATGTTTCTGGACGTTTTCACTAATCTGAAAAAATTTTGATACCTGAATTGTATATAAGATTTCAGATATGTTATTGCCAACATTTTATACAGCAATTACTGATATTCCATAATGTGCAAACAAATTAATGTAACTTATGCACTTTGATGCGTTTAATAATAAAAAATGTTGAACCGCCCAACATAGTATTAATAGGTTGATTTTTCCTTGAAAGTACTGTATTAGGTTTTTTAATCTAGTTGTACACACGTCGGAGGTTTGCTATTGATTAAACGGAATCGGGCCGAGTTTCATTAACATACCTATTTGTTTTTCTTGAATTAAATTTGCATTTACCATCTAAAGTAGGTATAGTCATAAAAACGACGTAAACGCTGAGGTAGTAATTGCTGTATTGTCAAAAAAGCGACGGAAAAATGAAATGAGTAATCGAAAGATGCAAATAAACTTTTTCAGGTTGTAAGTGGGTATTCCTTCATCTGTAAGATTTATGAATAACAGGTTTTAAGTTTATATTTTCTGACACCTTACCGTATGGTCAATTCAATCAGTGTTCTTGATTTTTTCGCTTCGTGAGTTTGCAAATTGGATAACATCATTACTTTCTTCATTTATATTCCGTGGTTACGACACCCAGATGAAATAATAACGAAATTTGTTGTAGGCACACAGGGAGTACCGTCTATTTTTATGCTGGCATTAATGTCAAAGTAAATGGTTGATTAACATCTCCATGATTAATCTGTCCGTTACCAATTCATCTATGTCAAGTAGCTATTACATGAATTCAAATACTTCGGAATTAGATAATTTATGCAAGAATCTTATATTGATGCCGCTCAATATTTTTGTTCAAATATTGCGTGTGATGTTTGAGTATTGCAATAACTTTTAAGTTTTTATTAAAAACTGTAAGAGAGTTGCGTGGCAGTTATGCAAATAATGCCGCTTAATTCACTAGCAGAAAGAACTTGATAAATTTATTTCGTACCCTTGTTAGACAAACTGAAAGAAACGAAGACAGCGGCGAATGCATTCGAAGCGAAGTCTGCAATAAGATACAACGTATCCGCGGCGCGTTATTGCCCAATTAATAACGATCACAAGGAATCCAACTACACGAAAAGGCCATCTTTGAGAGGATATTAAAACATCCTTGCAGCAAATAAAACAAATACGCAGGGTCGTTAAGATATCGTTACGGCTAATCATATTTTACAACGCAGAATAAACGAATCAGACTTAATTGTATTACGAAATGGTAGGAAATCTATATGAGAAATGCTTCCTAGAATTGATTCTGTAGTTAATTTTAATGTTGGTATTGAGCAGGTTTGCAGATGATTTCTTTCTTCTGCAAATATTTATCGCTCCAAGTAGGTACGTTGGTGTTGTTTCGTGTTCACAGCTGACATTTTTCATGCTCGCATACCACAAACGTTAAAACAGTAACGCATTTTAAAACCAGGTACGGCGGCGTACGGTACGTCTAATGCACAAGTAGATCAATATATGTTAATAAATCGAACGTGTTTCAACCAGGTTGTGTCATCGTCAGCGAACAGCTAAATAGCAGCTACGGCAATTCATCTGTTTGGAATAGAGCGGAGCCATCGGGCTTTGGGCATTAGATTCGGATTATTCAGTTATGTTTGCATAGTCTGAAAGCTACTGACCGCGTATAT